TATATATATATATATATATATATATATATAAAGCTCCCCCCCCCTCTAATATCTTGGTATCTTGCATTTTATGCAAAAATGCATTTAATTTTTCCCTAAATTCTGTGTTTTCCATTTGATTTCTTATGGATTCCGTGTTTTATGATTCAGTACAAATTTATCATAAAAAATGGTGTCTAGCGAAATGAATTAATAAAACTTTAACAATTGAATCAATCTTTTAAAATGCAATCAAATGAAAATCAATTTACAACAAAACATTTTATTTATTTGTATTTTATTTGATCAGATATGATGCTGCACAACAGAACTGTATAAATTAATAATAATAAAAAAATAACTTGGTTGTATGATAGTCCTTAAAAACAATAATATTATTATTACTTTGAGAATTGCATTGTAGTATACAGTAGTAATATATACAGTCATATAATTTCAAGTTAAACCGGACTTTTATTTTGATGGTTTGTCATTAAGGTCTTTCAGTTTAAGTTTTAGTTTCAGCGTGTATTTTTTGAATGCAAATTAATTTTGTTTAGATTTGTTAAACTTTTGCTTGCATTTAATGCACTTAAATGTGTTTAATTGACGTAGAACAGCATACTGATATTTAAAGTATTCTGTTCTCAGATGTAAATGACAGTACTAAGTACAGTATGCTCTTAAATGACACTGTATGTCAAATATTATGTAGAAAATTAAACTTCATAGAGTTCATAGCGCAGGAGCTGGTGATGAAAATTTCAACAATAAATTTTATTGGAGTATACTGTATAACAGGGGTCTCCACCCTTTTTGTGAGTGAGGGCTCCCTAAAAAGAAACTAAAATAGTTTCAAGGGCTAATTGTTTGATATACACCAATACATATATATATATATATATATATATATTAGGTGTATCACGACACAAATATATGAGATTATAAAGCTCCCCCCCCCTCTAATATCTTGGTATCTTGCATTTTATGCAAAAATGCATTTAATTTTTCCCTAAATTCTGTGTTTTCCATTTGATTTCTTATGGATTCCGTGTTTTATGATTCAGTACAAATTTATCATAAAAAATGGTGTCTAGCGAAATGAATTAATAAAACTTTAACAATTGAATCAATCTTTTAAAATGCAATCAAATGAAAATCAATTTACAACAAAACATTTTATTTATTTGTATTTTATTTGATCAGATATGATGCTGCACAACAGAACTGTATAAATTAATAATAATAAAAAAATAACTTGGTTGTATGATAGTCCTTAAAAACAATAATATTATTATTACTTTGAGAATTGCATTGTAGTATACAGTAGTAATATATACAGTCATATAATTTCAAGTTAAACCGGACTTTTATTTTGATGGTTTGTCATTAAGGTCTTTCAGTTTAAATTTTAGTTTCAGCGTGTATTTGACGGTATTTTTTTCTCAAATGAAACTGCATAAAGCTGGTGGAGTGACTCTCAGAGCAGCTCTGAAGATGAAGTGCATGTGTTCAAGTCCTCATATATTGAGACGCAGACGCTGAAAACACCGCAAGTCACGTGTGTTTGAGTT